GGGGGATGACTACGGGACGGGGGGTGTCGGTCGCACCTGCCGCCGTAAGCTGGTCCTGGGCTCCTGCGTGGCAGGATTAGGGAAATCGCATCGCGAGCGATACGGGTTGACACTGGCACATTTGCACATCGATTGTCATTCTAACAGTTGTCATTGTCAGATTTTATTAGGCTTAGGTATGTCACTGCAATAAAGATTCATATAAGATACTGTGTGCTCTCAATGAACAGGGCTGTGAGACTCTTGGGGTTGTTTTGCAGCAAAGCCAGAGAAGTACAGAGACAACTGCAGTCTCAGTCAAGGGAAGAAGTAAGCAGAAGAAAACCTGTTATGTGTCTAGAGACAAAGAAGGATATACATCCCGCTGAAAAAAAAATCCTTTCTAGGTCACTAGTGGGAATTGCTAGCTTTCCAAATTGTATTGCTCATCGGCCATTCACTTTGAAAGTAAAAAATACTATGTACAATAAATTTCAGGAGGTTAAAATGCTGGTTTGATAAGAAGTAAACACACCAGAGCTGAGGACCCTGTAGTGGAGTGCTCCATCTCTGATATTGCAGTTCTCAAAGGTGCTTGTCTGCATATCATGCTGTGATCATCACAGAACTTTGTCAAATACACTGTTGGCAGTATTGACTTCTTTGCGATGAAGGAGTAACAAAGAGCAGAGAGAGTGGAATATATTGAAACTGCCTGTATTGTTTGTCCAGACATCCAGAGCATTCACCAAACATATGTTTCTCAGGTCGCAGTCAGGAACAGGGAAGACAGCAACATTCTCCATCTCTGTTCTGCAGTGCCTGGATATACAGGTAACTTCATAGCACGTCCTAAAATTGATTTTTAACTACATTGGTAGAGTCTTCATCATAAAAACCTTCATTTTTAGTGAAGAAATTAAGCTTAACATTGAAATCTATTAATTATGGGCAGTGAACCTCAGAAAGATTTCTGACTGAAAATTTCACTTGGCTCTACTCTGTAACAGTTTAACTGTTAAACCCATCCTGGCAAAATAGGTTCAGATAGTCTCGTAATTATAAAGTTGACTTTAACAGTAGACCTCTTTAACATATTAGAGAGTAAAATATCTCAGCAAGCAAAATTGTCCTTGAACAGGACAGTTCAGCATCAGTAACCTCTCTGAACACTTGGCACATGTTGCACAGAACCAAAACTGTATTTTTGTCTGACAGATGTTTGCTTTTGTTCTAGATAGGGGTATCGTGTCCATCTAGTTGGTTTTTAAGTATGACTTGAATGTGTAGATGCCATTGAATAAAGTGATGATTTTCTGTGGGCCAATACCCTCTAAAATAAAGCTTAGATTGTTATTCACTTATGTTGTTATGCCTGGGGGCATAAAAATAAATGCTGCATGTTTTAAATGAAAAGGTCAGCTCTTCGCTTCATTTCTTTAAAAGGCTAATTATTTACTTTTCTTGGAATCCTTGTGCAATGCCAGGTTTTTATCTGAAATTAACATAGGAAATTGAAGTGATTTAAATTTGTTTCTATTCTTTTGCAAGTAAAGTACACACTTTTATAATGCTTTCAGAAGTCAGGTTGGAATGAAAGATGATCTATTGAAGAACTGCTTTAGTGCTGTCTTGTCAAAGGTAAATTAAGAGGCTGTTACTGTGTAAATATTCTGTGAGAGCTGCTTTCTAGGTGTACTGACCCTTGCAAGCAGTAGGTCTTAGCACAAAATTCTATCATTAATTCTTCAGATGTGACGTTTCAAAGTACCGTGGCATCTGTAATCTCTGTTGTGCTTGGATATCTGCCCTGCGATTAACTGCTATATGATCACCTGTTTTAATTAGGTTCGTGAGACCCAAGCGTTGATCTTGGCACCAACTCGGGAGCTGGCTGTACAGATTCAGAAGGTAAGAGCATCTAAATCGCCATCTCTAAAGCACTTGCAAGGCCTGGGACCAGTTCTCACGTGTTCCTCAGCAGAGCTTGAACCACAGCATCTGCTTTTTCTCTCTGTTCCTGAAAGCGATAAGAAATTTTGATAAAGTGCTGTTTTGTTCATCTGCGTTATATCCATTCTTGCTTACCTGACCACACTGGTTAGCAGTCTAAGGTTTTACACGTTTCTAGCTGAATTTTTAAGGACAGCACTTTTGAAGAAGTTATGCTCCCCTGGGAACTGAGTTCCCAGTGTTTGAAAGCCTGCTGTTGAGGAGGCTTGGGTAACAGACATAAAAATATCCCTCTTAACTGCTTGTGCCTACATCTCTTTAAATGAAACACTGTCAAGCTGTGCAGACCTGTATCTCTTCACAAATGCAAACTTAATGAGAGCTCAGTTAATTAAGCCATTTCTTTCTATCAACACAGGGTCTTCTTGCTCTAGGAGACTACATGAATGTCCAGTGTCATGCCTGCATTGGAGGGACCAATGTGGGCGAAGATATCCGGAAACTGGATTACGGGCAGCATGTTGTTGCTGGCACTCCAGGCCGTGTATTTGGTAAGGAGATATGGGAGGCTACATCACTTCCAGCTTCAGACTTGAGTTGAGCCATGGGAACCTCCTGCAACTTTTGTGCACTTGGATTTGGAATACTGTGAAAATTACATTTATCATGACACCATTAATGTGACATTAATGTGAAGTATAACAAGGTAACAACTTACTGTAGTAATATCTGGAAAAGACTAGAGAGAAATCAGTGGGGATATAGTTCAACTTCGTTTCTGTTTTGCTTTTCATTGTTGAAGTGTTTTTTTATATGGGGGCATGGGAACAAAGAGTATTTTTTAAGGAGAAAATATTTCTCCTTAAAATTACTTCAAAATCTTGGAGGAGATAAGAGTGAGGTATACTTGAATGTCAAAGTCAGGACCACATTTTCTGTGTACTGGCCATCACACTCTTTGTTAAATCAAGCACACTTGCAGCTGGTACTTTCTGGTTTCATTGCCTGAAGATTTTTATATTTACTGTTTATGGCAGTTACCACAGTGGTAGTGTTAGCCTTCAAGCTCACATCTTCTGCATCTCTGAGAATCCGGCAGCACTTTATTGCACAAACACCTGTCATGGTGAGAGCATGGAGCTAGTCTCCACAGGCTGAAAAAAAAACAAACAAAAAACGCAGTTGCTGAACTGGCCTGGCTTTGAATAGCACACTAATAGCAAATACTTTTCTATTGCATTATTAAGGAATTACACGAAGCCATGTGCTCTTTCAAACAGGATGTGGATTTGCCCAGCCTATTGACAAAAAGTTCCTGCAGCATTTTGTGTTTCTTGCAAGCAGCTTCCATGAGAGACTAGTTCACCTGTCCTGTGCAGTTAGCCCAGAGCTTGGGCTCTGGGAGCTTCCCTGCCCTCAGCACTGCCTTAGCCAGGCTGCAGAGATGGTCCTCCGTGTTGCAGGGTGCAGGGGACGTGCTTTGGCCCTTGGATGTGCCTTCCATCACCAAACACCTATTTCTATTGGCAGCAGGGCAAGTGTCTGTCCCTCCTCCACTGACATGCCCTGACAGCAGCTGGGAGCAGTGTAGGCTCACTTGCTTTCAGAGCCTTTTCGTCTTACAAAGTGAAATCTTACAGATATGATTCGTCGGCGAAGTTTAAGGACTCGTGCCATCAAAATGCTGGTTTTGGATGAAGCAGATGAAATGCTCAATAAAGGTAAAATGTTTGTCTTCCTTTTATTTCCTTTTGTCTTACCTCTTTGAGGTTACCAGGTGTCCTGACTGGCAGTCCCACTTCTAAAATCAATTGGTTTTGCCAGAGTTAGATGATTATAATTAATTATAGACTGTAACAGGTTTAGCTGCTTAATATGCCTTGACTGATTTAGTTGTAGTATTCTTTTCGATAGTTATAAATTCTTGAGCACTGCGTTTCATACTTTATTATGTACCACGGCCATATTGTAGTGGGTTTGGGAAAATGAGAGAGATAAGCAATATGTGACATTGGCTCTGAGCTGATTCACTCATCTCATAGAGTGAGCCCAATATTAAATTCCAGATCAAATTGTGAAGGAGCGGGACAGTTGGGAGAAAGATGTGCTAACTGTTCTGTGCTACTTGATTTGCTTTTCAGGTTTTAAGGAGCAGATTTATGATGTGTACAGATACTTGCCTCCAGCCACACAGGTGGTTCTGATCAGTGCCACTTTGCCTCATGAAATTCTGGAGATGACCAACAAATTCATGACAGACCCCATTCGCATCTTGGTGAAACGGTGAGTGAGTTTCCTTGCAAAGAATGGGAGCTCTTTGAGTTGGTCCAGCACTGGGCAGTTCACAGTATTAACCGATTGAAATATGCAGAATTATGCACATTCCTTCTCACCGTTGCAGTTTGTCTGGATGTTTGCAGACATCTGTTTTCCGGCAGGGGCCAACTCACCACTTGGACTTTATCCTTTCCCAGTTCTGTTTGCTACTGCTCAGCCTGACTGCCCCCGACCCCTCATCCTTTCCAAGTATAGTAGTCCCTTCTCCCAGAAAGACCATCTTCTGCACCTACCCAATTCCTTTGCTTCTCCAGGGGATATTTGTAGGCCTCCGTCATTAATTTTCTGTAGCAAGCCAGAAAAGACTTTAGCTGCCTGATCCTGAATGCCCTTGAAGTATTTGTCTGGTGGTGTCATAGGTCCTCATGCAGTGGAACTCAGCAGGAGTCAAGAGGAGGAAGCATAGGCAGCCTGGCAGGAGGAGCCTCCCTCTTGCCTGATCTCTTACACTTCCCCATTTACCTTTCTTCTGTCTCTGTGGTCAAGATGCTTGAATTAAAACCAATGAGAACAGACATGTTTCCCTTTAGAGCTATCTGTCTAGAGCAAAGTGAGTGCCACAGTTGTAGTCTCTGTTGCATGGGTGGTGTTCAAGACCCTTCAAGCAGACTTCTTCCTAGAACAACTCAACCTTGTGCACAGACCCAGCAGTACACAGGGCAGAGGTGTGGTCTCCACTGAAGCCCACCTGGCCCTTCTGACTGCATTGTACGTATTGGTCTGCTTGTGGAGTGGTACAGCTCTTCTTCTTCCCTACAGTGATGAGCTGACCCTCGAAGGAATCAAGCAGTTTTTTGTGGCTGTGGAGAGAGAAGAATGGAAGTTTGACACTTTGTGTGATCTCTATGACACGCTCACAATCACCCAGGCTGTCATCTTCTGTAACACCAAGAGAAAGGTACAGCAGCCATCACATGGGCCTTCCACTTCCTGAGAGTGGCTGAGGGGATAATGCTGGGACAAACCCACTGAAGTCTGGTTGTTTCCCCACTTGGGAACAGTTTAGCAAGAGCAGAGGTTAAACATTTGTCTTCAAGCTAAGCACATCCCAAAAAAATAGTTATAGGCAGACCTGATACAGTTGGCAGGAACTGCCTTTTAGAGAAGTAGAACTAATGAGGTAAGAGTGTGCTTATTCTTCTAATTGCTTATAGTCCCTGAAACAGAACCACACTTTTTAAATAAATGCCCTTAATCCCTTACCTTTCAGGGCTAGTGGAGTCCTGTATCATAACAGCTGATGCTTTGTAAAGATTATTTACTTCCTTTAGCTCCAGAATGCTTGTTAAAGTGTCTCTCAGTCCTTCAACTTATGTCTCTGCAAACATACTGCAAGCACAACTAGCCCATCTGGCTGTCCTGAGCTAACCCGAGCTGCTTGGCTGTACATACAGGTAGACTGGCTTACAGAGAAGATGAGGGAAGCCAACTTCACCGTTTCATCCATGCATGGGGACATGCCACAAAAGGAGAGGGAGTCTATCATGAAAGAGTTCAGATCCGGTGCAAGGTAAATGCCTTCAGCAGTCTTGCTTACAGCATTGCTGCCTCAGGGTGGGATTTCTTCGAGTGTCTGAAGGGAACTAGCCTCAGAAATCCATAATGCCTCTCTTCTCTGAAGGCCTTGTTCAGCTCAAATTAGGAGGAGCTGTGATTCCTTCCTATCTATTGCCCTGCAGTGTCACAGGCTTGAGAGCTTACTACTTTCCAAGGCATTGAATTAGTCTGTTTGATTTTGCTGAAGAGTTTGGGAGCTGCTGCATTTAAAATAAGTAAGAAAAACATTTGGTTCCGTCCTCTGTATTTCAAGCTCTTAGGAGTGTCATATTCTTTCTGAGAGACCAAAGCTGCCTTGGTACTCTCTACCTCTGCTGAAGCAGGGTGATGCTGCACGTGACAGCTTCCCTTGCAGCTTAAGTGTGGATGCTGCAATGTGCCATGGGCAGGGAAAAGTGCAGGGGCTGCTGTGTGCTGGAGACAGTGACTTTGGTCTCACACCCCCCTCAGCTGGGTGGAACAGCCAATAATTGTTCCCTTCTCTTGGCAGCCGAGTCCTTATTTCAACAGATGTTTGGGCTAGAGGCCTGGATGTGCCTCAGGTGTCCCTCATCATTAACTACGACTTACCAAACAACAGAGAACTCTACATACACAGGTGAGCTCAGCCTTCACACGGGAGAGCAGGATGGGATTATCTTCCCCCACACTGGCTCCATTTTTTTTTTTTGTCTGCCTCCACAGAATTGGCCGATCAGGCAGATACGGTCGAAAAGGTGTTGCCATCAACTTTGTGAAGAATGATGACATACGCATCCTGCGAGACATTGAGCAGTACTACTCCACCCAGATAGATGAGATGCCCATGAATGGTGAGTGCAGCCCCAGCATGGCTGCTGCCCTCCTCCAGTTGGGAATTGGTGTGCTGCCTCTGAAGGAGAAATGTCAGAGGCTTACTTTTACCATGTGCCTCATTCTCAGCACACTGCACATACTCAAAAGTCTCTCCTTTTCTCTCATTTCAGTTGCTGATCTTATCTGAAGGTCTGTGTTCACCAGGGACTTAAAATTATGGAGGCTACCAAACAGTATGTTTTGGACCCACATCATTTTATCATATTGCTGATTATATGTTCTTCAGTTGAGTTGCACTTGGGAACTTGTGTAAATAATGTCTTTACTCCCACTCATCTTCTTCAATAAAAAAGAAGTTTTACCAAGAAGTTTTACCATAATCCATGCTTAATTGTTTTAACCCAAGATAGTACCTGGCAGGGAGTTCAGCCATACTTGGCTAACACAATCAAAAGACATTAGACAGTACAGGGCTTCCTGTTCTCCACTGTTTCACTAGCGTTATGCCATGCTACCTGATGTACTTTCTACTTTCCTTGATTCTCAGGATAAGCCATCTACAGGAAAAATCTGTGGCATGGCCCAAGCCTGTTCTAAGAAAACTGGGTTATAAGATAGCCAGAAGAGAGACTTGTTTCTGCCTTTCTGGAGCTAGAAATCACCTCACTATTTGTTCCAGATGAGTTATTATTTCCCCTCCCAAGGAACATAGGGACTTGAGCAGGTGCTTGTGAGGCTAAGTGCCTCTTTAACTTGATGCCAGCTGGAGAAATACTTCAGGAAAAGTGAGTTAGAATGTAACACAAGAAGGATCTCTTTTCACCTTTCTCCTTTATGCCCCCAGGTATTCCACTAGTGATGTTCCTCTGGTCCCTCATACCCACACTGTGCATGATCCTGAGGTACTTAACACTACATGGACAAAAGTTGAGCAACACTGACCTTTATTTTACTGAGAATACTAATTGTAAGGGGTTGCCAGCTAGAGGTGAGGTTACTACAGCTTCATAGCCCCATGTGCAAGCAGCTGCAGGGCTGAGCCTGTGTTCCCCACAGGCACAGGTGCAGCACCTGCTAGTGCCACCTGCATGGGTTGACATTCAGCACTGGCACAAACAGCACCAGTACCCTCATCCTGTCCCTCCCTGGCCCATGTTAGTGGGAAATAAATACATGCTCCAGTTGCCACTTCAGCTGCTATAGATGCCCTCAGTATCTAGCCTTCAGCCAGAAGTCTGTCTTGTAACTGGCCTTGGGAGACTCATTTGTCTCCAGTTGCCTCCCACAGACAAATAGGTCACAGTTGAACCCCAGACCCTCCAAGTGAGTCTGGAGTTCCTGGTCCCTCCCAGTGCCTCATACAGAACTAGATGTGCATCCAGCCCAGACTCAGGGCTGCTTCAGTGCCCAGCTCCCTAGCCCCTTATTCTCTAAATCTGGCTTGAACACACTGACACCACCTCCCCTTGCAGTTGCCAGCACTTGCTTTCTGCTGCTTAATCCAGGCAGCAGTTTGCTGGTGCACCAAAACATACAGCCCCTGGGCTCCAAGGCTGGGGGAGAAGACCTCCACACATACAGTAGAATCCCCTCTCCCAGGAAGAGGGCATGAAAGGAGTTAACAGAAAACAGGACAGCCAGAGCTAGACAAGAACACACTTGTAACCTGTTCCCACACTTGCTCCTCCCACAACTGACCTTGGCACCTCCCTTTTCCTACATTTGATCCCTCAAAGTTGCAGTTTTTTTGCATTAATTCTGCAACTTCTTGGCACAGCATTCACAAACTCTTCCCCCAACTGACCCTATTTCAGTTCCCTCCTAGAAGGGCACTGTCTGGGCAAAGTCTTCAAGCTTCACTGCCCCCAGCCTCAATAGAGTTCTACTCTCACCATCACTGCACAGCATGGCCTCAAATCCACCTCAGACCTTACAAAGGCAAACATGACTAGTTGTTCAGGCAATAAAGAGATTCATCACCAAAACATTCAGTTGTTTAAATAACAGTATTTAATCTGTACAGTTTGAAAGATGGTATTGTAAAATGCAACATTCCTACCTCATCTTCAGCATCATCAGAGGGCAGGTAACCACCACTCCCCAGCAGTTCTTTATGGTACAAAAGTCACAGTGCAATCGCTTTAGTCCTAGACAGGTGATATCCCTCACTCAAGAGAGGGGAGACTGATGAAATTCAAACATTCATGGAAATTGCTACCATTTAGGAATAAACAAAACAAAAAGCTATCACACAGTCCTTTCCAGCTGAAACTAGAGCAGTTAATTGTTCAGCTGCCTTTACACTCCACACATCTGAAGACACCTTAGTTGACAGATTTAGCCAAGAGTGAAAATAGAACCAGTAACATCTCAGAACAATACAGTTGTTGGGAGGGCAGCTGACAAGCAACTCCACATGTCAAGAGGCATACTTCAGAATACCAGACAGTTTTCCTGTACAGGAAGGGGATATGAGCTAGACAGATGTCATTTTTCAGAGACAAGCACGAGAGGAACAGTAGCTTCAAGAGAAAGCTATGAAGTACAGTAGACCATTTGTTCATATAACTGTCAGGATAAGTATTTGACATAGTTTATGTAGTAGTATACATACTTGAACATCTTTTAAAAATAAGCACGACTTTCATTTCATATATACACAACTGATTTTAATCATGTACTGAAAATAAGTTACAGTAAATAACTATAAATGCAACAGAAGACAAGAGTTTCACAACAAACATTCCCACTGATTTTCCCAAGGAGTGAGATTGCAGTGCTCAAGGCAGGTAAACATCACAAATATATCAAAAAACTTCAAATTGTTGATGCATTCACACATTTACATGAGCCACAAACATTCCTTTACAGGGACTGCACTTAGCTACCACAGAACCAGGTTTTGCCATAAACTACAAAACTTTGATACAAAATTGTATTTATATATTTATATTTCATATACATGCCCTATCTGTGATTTCTTAAAAAATAAAAACTAAACACACTGTACAGACAATCCTAACTCATTGCTTGGTAGCTGTAGGCAACATTTTTGGATGAAATTTCTCCCCCAGTAGAATTAATGGCAATATTATATACATGAAGGCTAAACTGCAGAAAAAGACAGCTCAGTTCTGATATGCACCTCCCTTGGGCCCATGTCTGCAAGGACAAAGTGAGACACCACATGCTTTGACCCACCCTCAAGTCAGGTTGCCAGCAGCAGCGTGAGGAACCAATACATGCGTGTGTGTAACACTGGTATAATAAAGCAAGATCTGTATTGTAATGTGGTGGCTCTGGTGGCTTCAGCAAGCTGATACACAACACCCGTGAGAGGGAGCATGGGGACAGTGTGGAGCTAGGTGTGTGGAGAGAGCAGAGTGCACCTTCTGTGGGGTCTGATCGTTACACTTCCAAATCGCCTCCTGAAGAGGGCAGAGTCCCACCATAGGCCAGAGACTGCATCAACGCCGACACTGGGGGAAGATCCCTCTCCCTGCTCCCACCCCCCAAACACACTTGGTTCACCGGGACTAGTCGTAAAAACAGACACAGGCCCTCCCACCCCCAACAGTCTCCATGGCACCAGCTTCTCTTAGAAGCAGAGCACCGACAAACTTACACTTCCCAGGTGATGGTAGCAATCTGTGAAGGCAGTCACACTAAACTACTTCTACAGTTGATTGTAAACTTTGGTTTATTTTTATTTTTTTTATTGAGTTCTCATGGTACAGCAAGCATGTCTAGGATGAGAGGGCAGAGTTGAAGAGGAGATGACCTGTCAGTCTGTCTTTAGTCTGGCATGGTGAGACACCTGCTCGGTCAGGCCTGCTTTGATAGAGTTTTTTACAGACTGCTTCATATGATCCTCCATCAAATTATCACTCATGGGCTTCAACACCTGTGGAATGAGAAACGTGCAAAAGAAACAAAAAGATGAGGTAACCAAGGAAGACAATATAAAAACATACAGAGAGATGAGACTTGAAATAGTGACAAAACTTAGAATGTAGAAGTCTGACACAAACTGGCAATGAACAGAAGGAGAAATGAGTTTTGCTGCTAGAGAATGAGGTTAAAATCAGCCACATGCTATGGACACAAGTGATATCCCTCCTATACAGCAGTATTTCACTGAATTCCAACCACTTTACAGTTCCTAGAAGATGGATGTGCAAGTCCATACCCTATATGCAGCATCAGTCTGGTATGGTTACAGCATTTATGCAGACCGGCCCAGACGGTCCAGCTTATTGTCCTATATGTGTAAGTGTGAACACTTCAGATACAGAAAGAAAGGTAAAAATACTGGCTAGTTTTTCTTCTTGTTATTGTTGGATGAGAGTCGCTGTCGCGGCACTGATGTAAGAGCACGGCGAATTGTCCGGCGTCTAAGAACCTCAAAGAGTTTGGAAAACACCTAAAACATGAATTCAGCTGTTAGAAAAAGCAGCTCTTAAAAGGCAGCAGAAAAATAATCAAGTTCAAAAAGAGAAACTGATTGCCAGCAACCTCACCTTCCTGGGATTCCTCTGAAGCAAGGAGGGAAAAGAAAGGGAGAGATTCAGAAAAGTCAATAGCAAGAAGATGGTATATAATCACAGTGACTCAAACAGGACCTGTAAGTCTATATTGTTGGTGATGTGCAACTGTACCACCACCAGCAAGCTCTTTTTGGAGACCACCTTCCCCTAGCCTGCAGGAAGCAAGCTCCTGCTAGCATAAGCCAAGTTCTCCCCTTCCAGGGAAGGTCAGAAGTCAAATCAAGCCTCATGCGCCCCAGGTATCCTAGAGCAGCAGTGGCACTCTGAGTATTACATGTAGAACCAGACACCTTCCACTTTTCTGGCAGTGGTCTTCATCCCCAAGCTCCAAAGCAAGAAGCTGTGATGGTACAGGACAGCCTCAATTTTAATCACTTGGTAGGGGTGCAACTCCAGATTTAGTACCCTACCTTTCCTCCTATTATTCCTCCTATTATTAAAAATCCACTTTTTCTGCTCCAGTGTAACTCATAACCTTACCTGGTTGCTCAGGTAGGTCTAATGTACAACTGCCTGTGGTGAGCCTTGAACAGAGTCACTTTTCAGATGTAGAAGAGCACCTCTGCATAGAAGGCTTGTTAGTTATTTCTTCATGCATTGTAGGACCCATTTTAATGTCAGCCCAGGTAAGTTCAGCAAGCCCTTTATGTCCAGTAACAGAACCACCAAAGCCTTTGCCTTCTGCTGGCACCGGACACAGCTGCTCAGAATGCTGCAAGCACTACTTGTAGGAGTTGGTCAGGGATTCTCTACATTGGCTTTAGTGGCACAGCTGTGTCAACTGGATTCAAGCAACAAAATCTCTGTACAGAAGGCTTTAGTGCTCTTACATTCATATCCGTTCTTTCAGGAATTTGTCTGTCAAGTATTTCCTGTAGCAGCAGTTGCACCAATTGAAGTTGTCACAGACAACACAACTCTTCCTGAAGGAAGAAATCTGCTGTACATCCTCTTGTAGCAGTTGCTGCAAGTCGTCAGCCATCTCTCTGAGGTCTAATTAGACCTTCAGTACCACACCTTCAGGTGAGATGAGGAAGGGCAGCAGCATTTTGCCTTCCTCATTTCTTGCACCACCAGAGATATTTTATCCACCATGTCCATAGGGCAAGTTTATCACTTTAAACATACCTTTAAAAGCAGAATTCCTCGCTCTGAAAAAGTAACAACATTTTTAAAGAGTGCTTCCACTCTTTACTGTCAAAGCACCTAGTAAGGCCTTTAAGTAACACTTTTTTAATAATATCCTAAGTTTAACATTCTTTGTGTGCAGGATCTCTTACTGAGGAGAGCAGTCACACTTCTGAGCCCGTTTTCCCTTTGCCAGCACTAGCATTCTCCATTAGGTCTAGACCAGCTTTTTGCTCACAGCACTAAACAGGAACTGTTTGATATGTCTGCTCAAGAAAGGAAGATTTTGCATTAAAAACAGATACCAACCTGTTCCCATATAGCTTCAGCAATCTGATCAATGGCTGTTCCAACTTCTCTGAATTCCCCAGAGTACTTAACGTATGCCCAAGTACAAAACGATATAAGAGCCATCCCCAGCACAAGATTACACAGGGTAGCTATGGAGTTCATGCCAAGAAACCCAGTCAGTCCTGAGGTTAGATACATGGCAAACATGACTGCAAAGAGAGTGGCAGGGGTACGAGCAGCATAAAAGATGTTTTTGCCATCATTGTGCTTCACAAAATTTGCATAGATCTCGTCGATTTCCACTTCAAGTTGTTCCTGGTAGCGTTGACAAAACTCCTCCCCTCCCATCTTCTTCACCGATCGGAACTGCCTGACAGCTGACTCTCTGAAATCCTGGTGCTTCTGCTCAAGGTCCGATGGGGCAATGTAAGGCTTATCTCCCCCACAAACCTGTTAGAGCAAGCAGATATGAGGTCATCACACCCTGAGTATCTTCTACTATACAGAAAGCAAACCTGCTCCTCACCGCACCCTCTCAAGCCAGCAGGCTACCTGCTGCAGTTTTCTTGGCTCTGTAAGCTCTGGAGTCCCATCCCAAATGAAGCAGCTAAAGGCACTCTGCACCATGGCACAGCAAGAGCCTTATCTGTCTAATCACACAGAGCTGTAGCACAGAACTGAACTCATACTTTCAACCGTTCCCTTTGGGCAAGCCCAGGAGGACAGGACATCAGCTACACATACATTCCTGTTACGAAAAGGTGAAATAAAGGAATGCCAGGAGGCAGAGAAAGCTTAGCTTGAGTTAAGGAGAACTCTGAAGGCCACAAGCCCCCACCCCCTCACCTTTTTACTCCTGGTCACCTATCTCAGTGAGAGGATCAGAACTTCGAGAAAGAGGGTAGACTTCACCCACTCAAGTTTATTCCTGTTTACTGCCACCACTAGCAGGCTCCAGGGAGCTTACCAGGTGATATGAATTAACAAGAACTAGCTGCTGACATCTTTAACCTATTCTTCCCTAAACTGTCCTCTAGGCTTGAGTCTGATCAACTTGTGAGTGTACATTTTGATGAAGGGTTCAGGCCATGGACTCCAATTGATACCAGTGATGTGGACACCACCATCTTCCTCTCCCTGAATCAGCATATGTATGAAAATGGTTAGGCTCCAAGGACACTTCTACTCTCCAAGACTGATTTCTGACCTCTTGAGGACTATTATTAGAAATTACCTAGGCCAGAGACATGCATATGGCAGATCTAACTCCTCCAGACCTTCACAGTCAGACTGTGTTTAAAAACTGAAGATCCTTTCCTTATAATGTCAAACAACAGCCTTCCCTCTCCTGCCTCAAGGTAGTCTTGTCACAGTGCTTGTCATCTTATGTTTTCAGTGCAGCAACAACTTTAACCTTCTCCTGCTGCTATCCCTTCAGCAGGACACACAGAAGATGACTTTCTGAGAGTACAGCATCCCCTTTCTGCCTCACAAGATGGCTTCACTGGCTAGCATCAAGGCACACCTTGTTGTCTAGATCCTGACACCCCCACTCCACCCTTTGCTCAAGTTTAACAAGCACATTTCTGTTTTTTCCATATTGAAATATTCCACATCTGGCAAAATTCCCTGTAACATGGCTGCTAGTCTCATCGTCCAAAACGGTCTTTTCACATTGCTCAGTGTTAAACACTAGGAGGTGCTGATGCATTGACACCACCCCACAAATAACTGCCACTTTTCTTATACCCTGTGTGACTGCACCTGTTGCTCCTTACATCAGGAGGTCAGTATTTTGCTTATGCACACTCAGCAAAGCAGGGCTTTAGTTCATGAGAACTCAGAAGCTACAGTAAGAATTATTCTTACATAATCCAGTCTCAACTCCAAAGAGTTCCCACTTCTAATCATAAAAATAGAAGTTTCAGAGCTGTGTAATATTAGGAACATCATCTGAGACATCTGGATAAAAAAAATAATACATTTGTGTGTATCTCTACAGCAATATAAAAATATACAATACTGGGGAACATTACTATGGAAACAAAATCTGTTTAAGAGAACATCTGTTCCTGTTCGTTCCTTGCCCCAAGTAAAATACCTTACAACTACAGTATCTCAACAGCCATTGAAGATTCAAGGTAGGAAGGCGGACTTGGCATTTATTATAAACAACCCATTTACTATTTCAAGATATTTTCCAAAATGGAAGTAAACCAAGGAGTCCCTCTACACCAGCAGAGCATTCTCAGAACAGCCTGCTAACAACTCGAACTGGCTAGTCTGCCACTAACATTAGCTCTTACCCTAATTTCAAAATGGAAAGCTGCTTCAGCCATTAAGACCAGAATTAGCCTAGTTAATGAGAAGCTACCTTTGTAGCATGTTATCACAGCTACTGGTCTTTTCTGGTTGTAGAGTTTCACAATAAGCATAGTTAAGCTTTACAAGACATGTAATTGTTTTCAGAATTTCCTATGATAAAACCTTGCATAACACTGTGTTGAAGTATGAAGTACACTCAGCTTGGAGTGGTATAAGTCACTGTCTTCAAGAGAAGCAGCAAGTAGGTAATTACATATACAGCTTTTTCAGACAAGATAATTCTTGTATTTCAAATGGATTTTTTTTAACTTTAGAATTAATCTTCGCATTTTACTGCTAATGTATAACCACAATTCAGAAGCATAAGACTATAACACTAGAACTCTACCCTTGCATGACCCTGGTCCACCAAATAGCTCCTCACCTGTTTTGCTCATTTCATGTCACAAGATTTTAAAACATCTATCAAGAGCAGCAGGGGGAACTAACAGGTGGTATCTTACAAACACACCCATTCCTAAACCTCCCCTCAGACATCTAACCTCAGAGCAGAATGCAGAAGAGACATGAGTACTGGCCCTAAGCTACTTTTCACCATTAACACGCATACAACCAACACTGAGTATATTAAAACAGTAGGCCTGTATTTGCATGCTGCAAGCTGTGAGAGACTGAAATGACATATGACTATCTCAAAGCTTGCTTGTGTCTGTGCAAACCTCTAAGAGAAGCTGCTGCGGCCTGTGAATTGGTCTGGGGGATGTCGCCCAAAGAAGCAGGAGTGTATTGAAGGATGCACACCCCCCACTTCTTTGTAGTTGCACTGTCAGACTCAGACAAGCCTCAAAGGGGCAGACAAGTACTGAGTTGGCCCCATCCTGTAGCCATTTATGGCTCTATTGTGTAGGCTAGATACCATGCATGCATTTCTAATGAACTGACAAGAGGCAAATGTTCCTGCCCTGAAGCCAGATGCAACAAAACCTGCGGGACCAAAGAAATAAAACTAAAGGTGGACAGATATGCTAATCAGTGGATTCGATGAATTTAAAAAGGCAACATGCATCCACCAAAGCCAGATCTGTGTGCACCCACCACCAAAGAACTGAAGACTGGGGACCAACTGAACACTGTTGAATCCACAGCGGTGACTATTCTTGCACCCTACCCCACATCTTTGCTTTATTTCTGCCTTTTCCTTCCATTCTGTCCTATTGCTACCCCTCTTCACTATTTTTAATAAAAACCCATTTTCAGTATATGGCATTTGACCTTGTTTGTGTCTTAATCTCGCTCTTGGGATCATATTGAAACCTCCCCTGACATTGGCTTGGGACAGCAGTTAGAAAAAAATTTTATCATCATACCTGTTCCATGCCTTTACTGTACAAGTCTTTTGCTCCTGCCACAGCAGCAAGATTGTTCGCCTCAGCAGTTGCCTAGAAAACATTGAGCACTATGTGTCATCACAGCATTACCACATGGTTACATACATGTAGTTACACTGCTCAACATACCCCCACAACCTCCAAAGTTCCAGATGGCCAGAAAAATGCCCCACAAAAACAAGAAGGTTAGTGATATACATTAAAACAGATTACTGACTAAGAGAACATTTTCCTCAGCTTTCTAGTACAGCTGCAAGACAAACTCTAGTGTACTTTTCATCATAAGCCATCTCCTCTGAATGTTCTATTGTTAATGAGCAAACAATGATCACTGATCTACTAAATGTTAATCCTGATATATCACCACCTGTGATGAAAGCAGCAAGCTGGTATTTTCTGCATTATGTATGTGCAGTTTTGGTGTCATAATTTGTAAGAATTTAAGAACATTGTTAACCTGTGTCATGTCAGGGACAGTTATTCTAGCTAATGCTGCAAGACATCATCCTGCATATCTTGCACAACCCCATTTATGGCATGCTAAGTAGAGGAAATGATAGCAACCTTTATTTCACTGTGATGGGTTTTATGAACTTCCCCAAGTCTAAAGATTTGGTGCCTTGAAGGATGAAAAAAAACATCCAGAACAGTCACGTTTTAATGAAGTGACACAGGAAGCTTAAAAAAACCCAATTTAATTACAAAACGATTAAAACCAACCATAAAGCCCACACTCTGGGGAAAGCTCTTCATCCCAAACAATTCAAGGATTCAACACAAGCCTTACACAATCAGTTTGTGTTCCGATCACTTTAAAGCTGATTATATTCTCTTTGGATCAACCCAGAAAAGAAACTTCAATGTAGCTATCCAATCTAACAAACCCACAGAGTAGCACAGCACTGCAAGACAGTGGCAATATCTGCATTCCTGCAAGCTTTCTTCATTTTATCTGCTGCATCTGATGCTAAAAGCTCTCTGAATACAGTTAAAGACACTGAAAAAAATAACAAGTTACAGGAAACACATGCTTAGAAATTGAAGCAGCTAAAAGAACCCAACCTGATATACCCCTACTCCATTTGGTAGATGGAATTTAGGGAAGACACAAATACGTACCCAGGCTACATAGTTCAGATGGCTTTCAAAGTACATAGCTCCTTCAAGAACTACATCAAAGTGTGTGGGAGCTTCAGACCCACAGCAGTCATGATCTTCATTTGAAAATAACTTACAAAGTACACATCTATCAGATTATTTGATAGAAAAATAAAATACCTGCAGCATAGATTTTGGATGAGGTAGCTCCTCTCCTTGATAGATTTTAATATAAGCCTAAATGGGAGAAAGAAAAAAAAGGTCTTTTTCCTAAACATTTACAGTTGAAAAGAGTGATGATATAGAGCTCATTGACTATTTCTTTGTAGTAATGTTACTCAATTAAGCGTATTTCTTCATACAAGTCTCACAGTTATCACTAGTGCTTTACTTTCCTGTGCATTTAAGACTGGGGCCTAGCAGGTTAGCAGAGCACCTTGACAGGACATGGCCACTATCTCAAGAAGTGACAGTCTTGACAGCAGCTTTCTGCTCCCTCAAATACACTGGGTCTTTTCTAGGCAGGGAATCTTCACCCAAAACAGAGTGAAAATGACTACCTCACACAGCTTTTCTGGCAAGAGGTCTGTCCAAACACACCCCAGTGCTGGGAGAACCAGTCCTTACATTTCCGCACATACCTTTCTCCCTTCAAGCGTGGAAAGAAAAAAAAACAGATCAAAGCACTACTGCAGACAGAGCTGAGCAGCCAAAATAGTTCTGGAAGCCAAGCAGGCAGTCTATCCCTCTGTGCCCCACTCCACCAATCTCCAGGTGTCCTTGCTTTCACCAGGGTTTCAGAAGGCTGGAAGAGAACATGCTCCTCACATCACCTTCTCCAGCCCACAAGATGGCACATAGCACAGCCAGATAGGACAGATCAGTGGAGCGGGCATAGCAGGCAGCAGTAGCCATTTCAGTGCTTTGGACAAGCTGTACAAGTTCAACCAACAAAAAGCCACTCTCAGCCCCTCAGAGGCTGGCAGTTATTCTTTTTCATGCTACTGCTGCTCTCCCCCCAGCTTGTCAACAAGCCTCTGCCCTGAGGATTCTTTTCTGTAAAGGAGCAGAGAACAAGGTTATCAGGGGTCCCTATATACCCAATGCTCTAGGTTGTAGGACAACCTACAATAATGTATAGAGTTATACAAGACTCTGGTCCCTTGACACCCTCCTTGCTTCTGTAGTTATTCTTCCTCCAAGTAAAAGTCCTCCAGTTTCCAATTTCAGCTTTAGGTGCACAGTCCCAATGAAGCAGTCCTCTTTAGTTACATAACCACAGTGTTTCCACAGCACCCTGCACGACTGCTCCCAGACTGGATACAGGACATGAATCAGGCAGCTTTTCAACAGAGAAGGTTTTACATAGTTTTTAGGGTGCAATCCTTTCTAAACTACTGATGCCGTTGAACACTTCCTATACTGTATAGGATCATGTCTTACTAGAGATTAAAGCAGAACAAAAAGCAGCATGCAACCATGTAAATATAGACTGAACGTGAGCTCCACAGTGCTGATTTTATGCTTGTCAGAACAGTCACGACTTCTGCATCCCATATCACGTAAAATGAAGTAACTTTCTAAAAAGGAAAGACAAGTGCTAAAGAGTTCTGGTCTCAGATTCCTCCATTGCATAGCTTCTTAACATCAGCCCAACTCTGTTCTACCTTTAACATGCATGATCACAAGTAGTAATGCAAAATTAATATCTGTAGGAATGAGTGCCACTTTCTCCTAGCAAGCCAACTGTCTAAGTCATTCCAATTCAAAAACAAAAGTTACACACACCAGACCAATTCCTGGTGAGGTACAGATTATGTTATCACATTTCTACTGGTGTCACCATGATACCAAAACAGCCCAAGAGTAACAGCTGCAAGTATCATACACAAGTATTTCAGAGAATACAGTGGTGCTGCACATGCAAGTGTTTAGAAAGCATCTTCCTTGCATGTTAAAAATCCACAGGGGAGTATCTGAAATTTCCACTGCATACCTTGCAGTCTGAGAGCTGGTTTTCTATCTGTGCAATCTACACAAGACCCTCTTCTAAAAAAAAGGCAACATACCCAGACAGACTAGGATTTCAAAATAGGAAAAAAATACAACTTGAAGTATTCCAGCCTATTTACAAAGAAAAAAAAAAACACACCACAATTTTGCCAACAGTAGCTTACTAAGAGCTATACTGTTAGGAAGCTGTGTCCCAGATCTGGAAAGTCAGAGTAATGAAATGAAAATACAAGTGAGCTGATCAGTGAGTGTCAGCATAGATATCTTCTCTGGGAACAACATGCACTAAAATTAGAATATTTTCTTTTAAGCCATTAACAGAAATAATTAGTATGAGCTTGCTTACCTTGAAGTATTCTACAAGATCTCTACAGGTCACCTTGGATCCACTAATCTCTTTTTCTACCAAGTTTTCAGGGGCAAGCAGTAATGGTACCAAATTCCGCAGTTCATTCTTAAAATCCTCATCTATATCTAGTAAAATTCAATACATTTCAGGGAAAAAAAAAAAAGTGGTTAGTTTTCAATCTTTCATTTCCTAAAGGAACACTGATAACCCATGACCCTTCAAAATCCGTAGCATCACAACTCTTGACTGCATTTTTAAGGTATTTAACAACTTAAATACATAGTATAGCTTTAGTAAGTTCTACCTAGTACTCTTTAAATCTAGACTGAGGAAACAAGGTTCCATAGTCCTTGTAATATTTAAAGTGCATTTCCCCAATTACAACACCACCTTACACAATCCCACAAGTCTGTGCCCCTCAGCACAGAGGTGGCTGGCATCCCACTACTGCAAACCCACTTCTTTAGCCTTTGCTATTCTGATACATTTCCTCAGTTGGGGGATCAATCAACAACTGGAGGAATCCTGACTGCCTCTTATTCTGCAATAGCAGAAACCTACAGCTTTTATTTTAAAGTCATTCTACTTCTGATCTTTGGTTTAGCAAGTTTTTGGGAAAACGTTTCAATTTCAGAAAGTGAAGTCTTTCATTTTGTGAACTCTCCCCTCTGGAATCTTTATTTATCACCAAGATGTTTATTTAATGACCTTTAAGTATGTCTCAAGTTATCAGATGACAATCAACAGCTAGACACAAAGATATCCATTCCCTCTGCCTGCTTAACTCTTCTACCTTCAAATCACTGAAAAGAAGAGTGCACATTTCTAGATTCCACAGTTTCACCTTTTAGCCCTACAGTTTTCCAATCAAGAACTTCAATAGGCAAAACATTTCTGTGTTTAACTTCCATTAAAAAATAAACACTCAGTGATCTGAATCAATAAACGCATAATCGAAAGCTTCCTACCATTCAACCTCCCATCAAAATTTGGATTTGTTGCAACTTTAAGACCAGGGTGGGGCAACAGGAAACAGCCAAGATTACTGAAGCAGGAGTGAATATGCTTCCTTACATTCTGTAGCTCTTCGTGTTGGTTTTGCTTTACCTGAAGAAAAAGGCAGTAAGAACAGCTAATAGTTTCACAGTACAGCAATTAAGATTAAATAGCGGCTTAAAAGCAGAAAGAGCACAAAAGCATGTTTAAGCTTTCATTCCTGAACCTAAAACTGTCAAGTTCTAGACCCCAGAACTCTGAACACCAGTAGGAACATTACAAATGTATTTTATTAGCACAGATCGTTATCTCATCATGCATCATTACCTTGACAGCAAGTTGTCACTTAAGTTACCGGGACTACTGGAGATAATTTACCTGCAATCTTTTCTCTAGGAAGTTTTTTCCTCCTTCCAAGCCATATGCATGTTCATAAGGATAACTCCAATCTCTAATTAAAAACATCAGTGTCTGTAACAGGAATAACAACAGCAGTGAATGGGTTTCATCATTCCCAAAGTCAAAAACTTTCACACGTGATTATTTTAAGTAAAAAAAATTTCTAAGCTTGGCTGCTCTAAATGAAGTAGCCTTATAGTTTTGTGGTGCAAGTGTTTGCTTGTTTAAAAAAAAAAAAAAAAAAAAAAAAAAAAAAAAGAAAATCCCCAAACCCACACATTACACACACAAATGCAACGCACTCCTTATCTGAAAGGAAGTACCCAAGTGTCTCAAAAAGACAGCTTCCCTGTTCCATAGGCTTGCCTTTTGCTAACCCACAGGGATTACACTGTCCTCTCTCCCATCAGTTGAAGACAAAAAACAAACCTTGACATTACTCTTAAATCAGACTGGGCCAATCACAAGAACACTAGGGACTCACACTTGCAGGCTGAATATTCTAGAGACACAAGTCTTAAAACTCACCACAACAACAGTCAAGTAGTACCCTTACAGATTAAAGGGGATACTTCAGGATGAAAGAGACCTCAGTCTTTTTCTCCACTAAACAGAAGAAGCCTCAAACCCTTCTCTGGCCTAGCAAACAGTCAGGAGATGCTATCAGTTTTGAGACTTTTAATACTGAAGCTAGTAAGGCTTCATGTAAACGTAAATGAAATGCAATATGGCCCTTCTCAGTGCTATTTCTTAGAGGCCACAGGACCTTTATGTATAACCATGTACCACCAGCAAAGACCAACCACATCTCAAAGGGTAACGAGCGAAAAGGCAGCATGAAACTTTTCTCCTTAACATCGCACATCACTTGCCACCTTCATCCCTTCTATGCCTTGTAACTCAGGTACAAAGCTATACTTGCCCAAATGTGATCCTCTTCAGCATTTTTCCATTGTGTTTTTGACAAGAAATGTGGTGACAGGGAAGAAAAATCAGTCTTGTAAAGAACAGACTGGTTTCAGCCCAACTATTTTCTCTTCATAAATTATCCTAAGTTCATTTGCTACACATGCTTGAGATCCATTTAACATTTATAGTTACCTGAAATGGCTTTTGATAAATTTCTTCCATAGCTAGTCTTCCATATTCTGTAAACAACTGATAGAAAGAAAAGAGTAAGGGTGTCACATATAAACCACATTTTGCTACTGTAAAATATTCTATGATGTCACTAAGAAATAAAGCATTTGATCTTAAATCCTATTATGAGTTGAAAATGGCAAATACGCCAACCCTCAGTAAAATTCAAGCAGGAGACATGATTTCCACTGGTTTCCCAGTGCCATTCCATACCTGTCAATGCACCACAGCTCTAAGTGGGTGGCCTGCAGGCTATTCTCAGAGGAAAGCTGGCTGTATCTCTCAGCAAGCCAGTTTCTAAAACCTGTTTCCAAGGCTAAGGAGGTAAGCCTGTCTAACATTTGCACCTTATTTCCCACAAAAGATTTATTCCTGGATATCTCAAGGAACTTGGCTAGAGTCAATGTATCAGACATTTAAATACAAGCCAAGTTCAGCAGCCTCCCAGATCTCTACCTCAGCCCATCATCTTTATAGTGGTAGGAAGGAACAATTATCAGTAAAGGCTAGTGTCAGCTGTCTTCCCCTTGTTGCTATCACCATCTTTAATACCAGCAGCATTCTTCACTGGACTGAGTGGGCCAGACAACCCACGAGAACATGAATTGTGGACTCTGCTGGCTGTTTCAGTAGAGGTCAATACTGTCAGATGTTGATCTACATTAGCTCCCTTAAAGATCTTGGAGGTCAAGGTGAAGGAAGCACACAAGCATCCTCTAGTACCAAGCAGCCATTGTTCTGCATTAAAACTAACTCCTGGAACATCTCAGATAAATGTTACAGCTAAAAGAACAGTTTTTCCTGTGTTGATTACAAGAGCATCTGCGAATTTACAGGACTAATTTAATGCAAGTTAACTTCTAAGCCCCTGTCACCCTGAGCAAAAGAAGCTCTGAAGTGGCCAAGCACCCACAGAGATTGGCTTTTTTGATCCTAATTCCCTACCCCATTCACTTCCCTGCTACACGGAAAAGGCAGCCATAGACTAACAGTATTTCAGAGTAACAGAAATTCCTGTTATAACAGAAATTCAGAATTTCCTTCCCTCAGCCCATGATTCCTTGTCCCAGCTTTAAATGCATGGGTGTCCCCTACCCACTGCTTGTGTTTATCACCCTTCTCTTCCCTCAGACTTCACCCTCCACTATCATAGAAAGGGATCGCTCTATTCAGATTGGTCCTTAGACGGTCTCGGTGCAAAGTCATGAGAAAAGCCTAGCTTTCAAATAATTAGCTAAGGGTTGTGGGTTTTTTTTTTTTTTTCTCCTGTTTGCAGTGCTTGGTTGGGTTTTTTTGGGGGGGTGGGGAGGTCTTGGCCCAGTGATACAACTCTGTTAACTGAGAACTGCATCATAAGACTGCTTAGTTAGTGCGCTTCTACTTCCAGTATTGGCAGTCAGTCGTTTGCAGCACTGACCAAGACAGAAGTCCTTTCAATCAGAAGACACGTAGAACAGTTTTAAGCTGTGACAAGGTCATGGCCTAAGCACAGGCAGACATTTGTTAGTACACAAGCTGGCCTTTAAAGTTACAGGTTTTAAGTTAAGGAGATAAGATTCTAGCACCATTCACATGAAGTCAGAGTTCAGTGGCCTTTGACCACAATGTTCCATTAGAGGATGAAGACCACACACTAAAGAGGACAACTCTTTCCAGCTTTTTTTTCCTCAGCAGAAATAAAACTCTGTATTCAGTTGAAAAACTAGAGAAGGCTTCTGGATAGAAAACACTTTCTGCCCTGACCCAAGCTCCCACATTTCTTTAGAAACTGATTATGAAATACTCTCATTTTTCCCTAAAACAGGAAAATGGATGAAAATTGGAATTTTCTCATTAGTTATTTCCATAAATCATTTTCCTTTCTCATCTTTTTGGGAATTTTAGAACTTACCATATAGAGAACAGACTTTAGAAAGATAAGATTTATCCAGATTAAAAGCCTGTACTATTTTGTCTCTGCACTGGCACAGCAGAAGCACCACAGCATCATGGAGATGATGCATATGTTATAGGCAGCACTAGTTCTAGCATCAGGTCAGCTTCATTGTTTTACATGAAGTAACAGACAGCTCTGAAATCAGTTACATTAGTAGTAACTTCAAGAACAAATGTCAAGACTGTCAGTTCAGAAGCAACTTAATATAAATTCAGCATATTCTTACCTGCAAATGCTGAAGGTCATCTTCCTGAATATTCTGGGACAAGTTGTATACCTGCAAGAGACAGTCAAAAGGATTACTGTAACATGAAACCATTACCTTACATTCATGTAATCTATTAGGTATCTTGAGTATTTTTACCCCCTCCAGATAAATTCAACTACCCAAAAGTCAGCAACTAGAAAGGTGTCACAAAATGTATCTCAAAAGTCACTTCCTTATACAAAGCACTAGGGACAAAACCACTACTGACTACCCTAATCCTTCCTAGAACAACTTCCTTCCAAGGAAGCAAGCCATAAATGAATCAGAGAAGACTGCTGAATACTTCCAATCACCACACAGGTGAGAGACAGGAGGATTAAGAAAGACATGTTTAAGTGCTCTAGGATTCAGTGGTCCAGCTGCATCTCCAGCAACTACATCTCCTACTGAAATGACTGGGTAGTTAGCGCACCGGGTTTTTTTGCTTTCAAATCTTCCCAGACAAATCTGATCTTATCCAGTGAGCTTGCGACTGTTTCAACAGCACAAATATTGAACAGCAATAAACTCAAAGATGCAGCAACAACCCAAAGTTATCCTAGCCACAGGAATAAAACAAAACAAAGTAAGCCAAACAAACAAAAAACCCCCACCAAGACCAACCCCACAGGGCAAAAGTGGTGTTCTACATACTCCATATATGTATACTTCCATGTTGTAACATGTCTGAAAAAGGTCACTTGTCATCCCTCAAAATCTGCTCACTTTTGGCACATTTAAGGCACAAGCTTAAAACTACTTTTGAACATAGCACAAGAGAATTGTCAGAAGTTTCGCAGTAGCAGCAACTGTATATTTAGCTGATCACAGTGTAATTTCACCCCAAACTGTATCTAAAGTCTTAAAGATTCTGTGAGGCGTTTGTACAGAAGCAGTTGCTATTATGACATATTTTTTTAGGATTCCCCAGATCAGTCAGCAATTTAACTCAGCTTGGCCTTGGATAACCTCAATTCCACAGAGAAACTTATGTAGTATGCTAAACTGAAAATAAGACATTAAGTATGAAAGCTTAAATGACATTTAGAGGAGGATATACAAGTGAACTTTCAAAGCACGGCTAGAGAGATATTCTTTGCATGTTCAGGATAAAGGATTCTTATAGCTACCATTATTTGCCAATACAGCTATTCTCACCTGGACAGAACTTGTCATGGTGCTCAGAGCAAAAACAGTCGCACAGTCTTTGATAGTGGATTGGCTATCAAAGGCACCTTGGGTATCCATGAGTAGTACAGCAACCTAGAGAGTTTTAAAGAGCAGCAATAGTTAACCACATTGTTAAGATTTTTTTAAATGCCAGGCCACTGGAATAAATTCTATTTCAAGTAAAGCACATCTCTGCCTCTATAACTACTTATTAAGCCTCAGTCAGCTTCCTGCATACATGTCTCTACACACCTACAGCTGAGTAAGCAGCCTTAAGTCCTTGGCCTTGCTACACCAGTTACCCTCTCCCACAGAAATAGCCTCCCTCAGGCAAGTTGGGGGTAAAGTGCAGAGTAACAGACAGCTCTTATTCACTGGAAGATCTTCAGTCTCAGTTGACAATCCAGCACAGTTCATTAGAGCTAATAGTGACATGGTTACTTTTAAAAATATATACATCTTAATCATGTTCAGAAGAAAACAATGTCATTCCAACAGACAGTATCAATGACCAAGAACTAAGTGCTTAATGATATAAATTAATCTGTCCAATTCCCACCTTTGGGATCTACTTCAATTGCCTTCTCTTTCAGTTAAAGATGATGGATAAGCAAGAGCAAACAAGTGATTTGGCCCTAGAGCATAAAAAGATCCTCACAACTTAACTTTTTTAGCCATAGAACTGTTTGGTTAGCTATGAAATTTGATAAAGCTTCCTGCATGCCCCTAAGCCACTACCTATTTAAGATCAGTGTCCCATATTCATTAGCCATCGGATACTTCCTTTGCAAAGGGTATAAAAGTTAAATAATCAAGAGCTCATGGTCCAGGAAAACATGAATAGCTCAAGATACCCCACCAGTATTGTGGAGTAAATATTTATTAACACTTTGTTTCAGCATGAAGATAACACACCCACAACCAAACTTTGTAGTTAAACTGACTTAAGAGTTAAAAAATATGCACCAGCTTTGATTAGAGTTAGTGCCTTTTATCCCACTGTTAGACTTAGTCCTTTTTTTACAGACTGTTAAAACTATATGGAAGGACCAGCTTCCAGACACTGACGCTGTTTCCAGTATTTATAGCCATGTATAGCATGAAATGTATAGAATTACATTTCAGTAGAACACAGCTATAAGCTAGAACACATTCTCACCTCTCAACAAACAGTGTTTGTTAGAGAGCTGTTCTTATCACAGCATTTGTCTATATAATGGTATTTACAGCCATGAGTTTTACAACATCCACAGGATAACCCAACTCATCAGCCTGGACAGAGTATACTTTGCCAAAACAAAGTACTCCTAGAACAGGACTACTGTTGGAGGCTGAATCTTACAATCCAGTAAGAAAATTCATACTTACAGTGATATAAGGTTTCCAAATATGTTATGCAGCTACTGAATGCAAAGGAAAGCAACTGATGAAAGCAACTGTCTCCATGAAACCCATGGCATTAAAAGGTAAACACGGAGGCAAAAATCCTTACATATACTTATTTAAGTCAAGCACTTACCTTTGTTCCATTGGGTTTATCAATTACAAACACTTCACTCCAAATCTGAATACCAGTGGTTTCCCGTTCACATCCACCTCTCCATGTAAACCCAGTCAACGGCTCAGTGCTTCCACCTATCCAGCAAGGGGAAGTCTACAAAACAAGAAGAGAAACTTATCTAAAACCAAAGAGGAGATGAGATTTTTTTTTTTACATGCTACGCTTTAGCAGACTTCCACATTGTTCTCTCGTCTTCCTCAGAGCCAGTTGACAACACTACCCAAAATACTAAAACACAATGCTATTCTGCAGTATTTCAAGAATCATCCACAAAGAAATGCTGTTCATGCCTACTGTATTTCAGCAGCTGCACAACTCTTCAGTCACTGAAGAGTATACGTGCACAGCTTTAAAGTCTCCAGTGCTCAGAGCTGATGAGAATGGCTCAGGTTTTGTCCATAAATTACACTTTGCAGTAATGCTTTTTTCTCTCAGATGAGAGATCTCCATTCAAATACAGTTGTAAATAGCCTGTATTTTCACTACAAGAACAGCTAAAGCTCTTCAAGGAAGCAAAAACCTGATCTTGACTTAATCCTCTCCCCCCCTCACAAACAGGTCAACTGCTGAAACTAGCTAAGCATCTCAGCCCCTGCACTAACAGAGGGCAGCACAACTCCCAATGCCAGAAGCCAAAGAGAATAGGCAAGAACAAGATGATCTATGATCTACATTTGTCAGTTACCAAATAGTTTTTAAGTGATTAGGACTCGAGAGAAAAGGTCACATCACAAGTCTGATACATGTCCATCAACACATCCATATTAAAATTATTAGTACACTGCCCACTCTGGAAAGGGCTATCAAGTACAATTTGCAGCTAACACTTCTGGCTAATGGTACTGTAACAAGGTCTTTGGTCCTCAAGGACAGGCAACACAGAGAACAGTGTCTCACACGTAAGAATCCAGCCATTATAGGAGTACATTTAACCCAGAAACATAGTTTAATGTACTGGGCAAGTAAGGAGCATAAACAGGTACCCTGTGGTAGTTTCACTGTGATAGGTGATACACTGAAAGAGAGAAGTGGTAGGCAGAGAATAGTTCAACTGATGAGAGGGCTTAGATAAAAACTTTTATTTTACAGGCTAGAATAGAGCATGCTGGCAGAACAGAAAGAGACATTTAATGAATTTGCCTGTGACTACTCAGAGAAGATTACCAGCAAGGAAATTGTGCTCTTTGAGAAGGTCAAAGGGAAGACTTCTCAATTCACTAGGCCATGGTCTCTACCTTGCTGACTCTGCACTGGCAGTTTTCAGAAAAGAGCTCAAGACATCTCAGAAAACAGCACAAGCACCCAGGGACTGTACAGAATAGAAACACTACAAATAAGTGAAACTTCTTATTTCTAAAGTGGGACAGGGAAAAACCTGCACGCATTCCTCACACCTAGCAGGCAGAGCAAACCATACTAAGAGGGAAAGGCAATCAAGCAGTTCTGCACGAGTGTTCTCCCAAATGACAACACTCAGCTCTGCTATTTGGATCAGACATGGATAAGTAAATGAGTTGAGCAGATAAAAATTCAGAAAATGAACACAAGTATCCAACTGAAGAGAAAGAACCATAGCTCTTTAAGTTGTTTGGTCTTTTTGGTTTTGTTTTTGTTCTGTCATGCACATATACCTCTACCAGAGAGGCTAAGCAAAACCTGAACAGCTTTCCCCAGGAGATTTTTTTTTTATCCCAGAAAATGCTTATGCATCCACTGACCAGTCTAGAAATCAAAGCTCCAAGCCTGCTTTGAATTTCAGTACACTCCAGGATAGTTTTGCAATGCTGAATCATATTTCACAGGTATATGTCAGTGTACTGTAGCTTTTCGCTTTTGCAAGAGAATCTGTTATATTATTCAACATTAGGTTCCAGTTGTCATTTAGACATGCAAAACTCATGAAGTTCAACAAGGCCAAGTGCAAGGTCCTGCACATGGGTCAGGGTAATCCCAAGCACAAATACAGGCTGGGCCATGAGTGGATTGAGAGCAGCCCCGAGGAGAAGGACTTCTGAGTATTAGTGGATGGAAAACTGACTATGAGCTAGCAACTTGCACTCAAAACCCTGAAAGCCAACCATATCCTGGGCTGCATCAGGAGAAATATGGACAGCAGGTCAAGAGAGGGGATTCTCCCCCTCTATTCTGCTCTCATGAGACCCCACCTGCAGTGATGTGTCCAGCTCTGGAGGGACCAACATCAGAAGATGTGGACCTGCTTGAGCAAGTCCAGAGGCAGCCACAAAGACGACTTGAGGGCTGAAGCACCTCCCTAATGAGGACAGGCTGAGAAAGTTGGGGGTGTTCAGCCTGGAGAAGGCTCTGGGGACATCTTACAGTGGCCTTCCAGTACTAAAGGGGGCTACAGGAAAGCTGGGGAGGGACTCTTTATCAGGGAGGGCAGGGATAGGATAAGGGGTAACAGATTTAGATCAGATATAAGGACGAAATTCTTCCCTGTGAGGGTGGTGAGGCACTGGCACAGGTTGCCCAGAGAAGCTGTGGCTGCGCTCTCCCTGGCAGGGTTCAAGGCCAGACTGGACAGGGCTTTGAGCAACCTGGGCTAGTGGAAGGTGTCCCTGCCCATGGCAGGGGGTTGGGCCTAGATGATCTTTAAGGTCCCTTCCAACCCAAACCATTCTAGGATTCTATGATACAAGAATACTTTTTCCCAGTTTGGTCCAGAAGTTATCCCTAGTTGTAGTAAATCAGGCCAAAACTACACAAATCTTGACAAGTCCCTCAATGAGCACTAGATATGACCACATTTGATTTCACGTGCTTCATGTCACTTTGGCCTCATAACAGGCACAACTTCACCTAAACCTGCTTCATCTTGTGGATGATGCACTTAAGCCTGTCTGACTGACCTCTGCATCACTCTGAAGCACTGTTAGATTGTTACCTGCATCTTTCCTTAGTTAAAACTCAGTATTTTAGCAGTCTCCATCCATCAAGTTGGCTTGAAAGATATTCAATAAATGGAAGGAGGAAATAAAGACTTTGTTCATACAGGAAAAAGTTAGAAGTTGTAATACAATTTTGTATCAGTCCCTTAAAATGATAACATCTTAATATTCCACACTAAGGAAAGGACCAATGCAACTTTATTTGCATAGTGCCATTAGTACACAATGCACCTTGCAGATTAAAACAAGCTAAGGTCATACCCCTGTAAAAAAAGCTTTTAAACCTAAATGTATCAGTGTTACTGCACCTAACCCTTAATTAGGCTTAAACTGCAAAAAAAGATCAGTGTCCTTGCAGATGCAAGCTGAGTACACAGCTGCAGCTGTTTTGTGGCAGATTATTCTGTTCTATTTCAAATGAGCAATCGTAACACCAGGTATCAGTGCCTGAAATGAGATGCCTATCTCCCTTAAGTTAGTGCCCAATCTCAGCCATGCCAAATTCCTACATGTTGACTTCCACCCATACAAGTGTGTTTTAGGATGGTAGCTTTTCAGATGACATCCAGTTCTTGGTTGAACACAAGAAAATGGGATTCTGAAGTATCCCGGCATGTTTTTCATCACACATGTTAATATCCACAGGGGAGAACATCCCCAAATTGCTTGATTAGTGTATGAACTGAATGCAGATGTTTTAATATTTTGTGCAGGATCCAGTATTTAGTTCACAGAAAATACAGGCTTGTAATTAAGTCTGACTGGAGATGGAGCAATCAGACTAAAGAGTACTATAAAACTATACCAAGTCCTCCCCTCCTGTATTGAATTTGCATATGCATAGAGGATAGCATTTGATTTGATACAATTCAGCAGTACTCAAAAGAGGGGGCATTGCACTTCTCTCATCCCCAACTACCATCAATCACTTTGCAGAAACTGATGCTTGTCAGACTCTTTACGTAAGCCAGTTTATGTCACTGAGCTTGAAGGAAAACATTCTGGCAAAGTGTAGTGTCTTCTGATGCATCACTGAGTTGGACCAGCTCAGTTAAGGGCCTGCAACCACTACAGCTTCAGAATGCAAATGACTGTCTAGAAGCAGCACACACAGGTGAGCAAAACCTGATTTTGCTAAGTTACTTGTTACAGTAGATGGCCAAGTTTGCCTTCACCTTCAGTTTCAGTAAAACAAATGGTATTTTTAACAAGACCAATAGATAACTGAAAAAAGTGATTGCACAATAAAGGGACCAGAGGAGCATGATATTACACAAGGCTGAAACAGTGTTTCAATCAATTTTGGTTTATGAACTTTTGTTTTATTTCACAACCTGAAAGTTACAATATTTGCTCAAAGCCCACTCCTATTTTTGGAAGGGACTAGCACTACCTCTAGCCAGCCACCATCTAGCTCAGTGTGCTATACTTCCTGGGATTTGGGGGGTTTGTTTGTATTTGGGGGGTGCATGTGTTTATTTTAAACATGAACAGGACACTAGAGACAGTTTATATACACAACCAAAAGGCCACCCACTGAACATCTGTATCAGTGAAACATTTATACTTCCCTAGGTTAAAAGTGTCTTAAAAAATTGGGAACACCAGCCTGCTTCTACCACCACCTCCTCTGTCTTTCTTACAGAGCTCTTGGCAAATCAGCAAGAGGAATTCAACAGCAGGCACTACTAGGAGTGAGAGAAAGGAAGTCTTCGTCTGCCAACTACCAGCAGCTTCTTTGCAATATTCCCATATTTACTGTAACTGCACAGTTCACCTTAATCTCATCCCGAGCCAGGTAGCACAAAGGTTAAATAGATGTAGTCACAGTTAGTTTCTGCTACTGTGAATTCTGACTCTGAGAAACAGTGACCAACAAAGTAATCACTTCTGATATTTTTAAGAGCTTCAAAAACCAACAAAACACTGATTTATCAATATTCATTGTACAGATTAAAAGAAATACACCACAACCTGTGACAGGCAGATGTGTATGTTCACAGGAGGCCCTACCCCAACTTCTCCATATAGGCCAAGAGTTCAAAGTATAGCGGAACACAAGAAAGTACCAGCCAAAGGCTACAAACCAGAAGTTAATTTTTGGATCAGGCATTCATTAACCAATGACTTAGAAGGATTTAAAGAGTTCCTGGATTATATTCAGCAACATATTCCATGCAGAATACTTTCTCCTTCTTGCCATACCTCTGAACTAAGCAGATTTAGTCCTCCAATAGCCACCTGGTAAGACACTTCTTTTTGTAACAATAGGTAAACTAGTGCTACAATATGATTTCAGATCAAGTCAAAGATTCCTCCAAGCCACCACTTGGATGAGCCCTTCCCCCACAACTCAACTAGAAGGCCACCACACTCCCTCACTCAAGTTCTTCTCATACCCACTTACATCAGGACACCAATAAGTTACCTGATAACTGCAGGAAAATTTATATTGAAAAACTGTCACCTAAATACACTTCTTCACAGAGTAGAAACAGAGTAGCTGAATTCCCCACCTCCCAAATAACTAAGAAAACTCTGACCTGCTGTATTTGTGCTCAAGTCAACAAAAATACATAGGTAAATGACTAAGATACAAACTACTTTTCTCCTACAAGGAAAATCCAAATTACTCACCCTGTTATACATGTATCTAAGCATGAAGTCCAGCAGAAAAGATTTTCCTTTGCGGAAAGCTCCTGCTACAGACACAACTACTATGTTAAGATCTTTGATGTGTTCCTGAAGCAAGATTTTTTCCAATGCTTCTTCATCTAATTCAAAGTTATGGTCATCTTCGTGAGCAAGAACAATCTGTATAGGGCACGGCTTATCCAAATCCACCTCGTCATCCGAGTCTGCAAGGGCATCCGTATCAGGTAGGGCATCCTCCTCTTCTTCCTCATAATGCTTACCTGCAAATTGACAGGTTACAAATAAATTAGCAAGTCAGAATTTAGGGCACTCAACATTTCTTTAAAGTGAAGCCTTGAGGTGGGCTTTCATTCCCAGCAGCAAGAACTATATTCTTGAGAAGGCACAGACAATAAGATAACAGCAGCTCCCTAATTGTTTTCACCAGCTTTGCATATAGTCTACTTTAGATGTTTGATATTTTCTATGTTTTAAGAAATCACAAAGGAAAACTGGTTTTCAGAATTAAAACCCCCTTTAAAGGCTTCTTAAGTATAACTTTCATTAAAAATCAATGGCCTTTTATCTGGAAAAAAATTAAAGTAAGTTTCAAAGAGAACCAAAAGAGGCCATTTTTAGATTACCGCCTTCTTGTAATATTGTAAGGGGAAAAGAAAAAAGCTATGTGTTCTGTCAGTTTTGCTTGCCAAGCAAGACTAGTGATCTAGTATGTAATCCTAGGATTACATACATCACCAGATTAGTAAATTCCTCTCCATTTCCAACACATTACACCCATTTCAATTCTCAATACAGCAGAGACCTCAGAGTACCTACTCACTACTTTAAAGAGGATGTGTAAGGCCTAACACTTTCTGAGATAAGAAAACCAAAAAAATTGAAGTAATTTCTGGCTTCATACTCATTCTATGACATGTTTTTAAGCAAGACTTAATAACAGTAAGTACCAACTCTTTCAAAAAGAATAAGATAATATTTTATACACAATTTAAGAATCAATACCCTTTCAACATCAACCAGTACCTGAAAGAACTATAACTCATATGAGACTTAAATTATGATGAATGATAAATTAAGGTAACAGCCCTTCACACATACAGCACAATAGTACCAATATCTATTTTCCTGACTTCCAGAATTCAGGAGTTACTGGGTTAGAGGCCTAAAAGGAAAACAAACAAACTGACCTGTCTGAGATTAAGACTTTTTCAAGTATCATACCATTTAAGTTTGTCCCACAGCAAAAAAACTCTACTACTGGCCCGATTCCACTTTTCCTATCAAACATCTGGAAGCCTTTTTGTACTTACAGAATTGCCTCCAACTCCAGATTTACATTTTGACATTTTCTATCAGAACCCCATGTGCACAAACCTGACTAAGGCACCTTCCTAGCAGCTACTTATCTGGGAACATCACTGTATGAATTTTGATATGCTGGACTGCTAGTGCTGCTTGCATTTCCAAGTATTGCTTTAACGAAGTCAAAGAAGGAGCCATCTCCAGTTACTTGATGCACTGTGTGCAGGTATGTTACATGGCTCCCATGCTTCTTGTGGAAGTAGCCCAGAAGCAGTGTTCTCTTGCAGGATGTATCATAAGGCACCATGGAAAGCACCACAGTTTAATTCGTTCATGGCAGAGACCCTGCCAATACCCACAGGACCTGACAAGTCACTCCTGACAAACTTTGCATCCTAGATACAATCCTCAGCAAAAGACTTATAAACAGTGCTCCAACTGTTTTGTGAATGTAATCAGACATTTGAGTTATTAGCATTAACTTGAAAAACTGGTAACATGGCAATCCAAGTTTTTTCTAGTAGCTGTCTCTTTAGCCAGTTCTGACAATTTTTCAATTCATTGCAAAACAGAAAAGATGTTTCCATTTCCAAGCATCAAATCTGTGCTGACTTAAAGGCCAGTGGCACTAAATCTTAAAAAAAAAATTGGTTTGAATACATTAAGCTAGAGTAGTACTTGGTTTGAACAGGAAGTAAACTTGAATGCTTATTAAATCCTAAGCAGCTAGAACTAAACTCCAACATTATCCCAGTGGGCATGCAAAACAGCCTCTAGAATCAACAACTTAAACTGGTTGACAGAGCAGGCCAAAATTGCATCAGCAGGCCTGACAACTGGAAGGAGTAACTTTAAAAATAAATTATGTCAACAGGACACCAAACTATATAAATTAAATTGACACTATAGTGGTCACCATTTCAGAAGAAAAACTCTCACCTTTGGCCTAAAGCTTTTATATTTCCAGAAATTAAACAAGTCCTCTTTTTTGAAAGAGTTTACAAAACAGACTTTGCCCCATATAGGTAGCACACTTTGTAGGCCAGAAAACTTAGGAGGATGGCCCAGGTGAGGCACAAAGATTTTGACAGTGAGAAATAAAGCCTTCAGTGTCACAGCCTAGAAACATAAAAGCAATATTGTACTGATAGAAGCATTAATATTAGATAGCTCCAAAAAGAGATTCCTGTGATTTAATAAACAGATACACAATGTATCAAAGCCTTTGAAACAAGTTTAACTTGATTTCTTAGAACAGCCTCATGTTCTTAACACATACTTCACTTCAGCTGCAGTAAGATATCAGGTTTGTAAACTAATGTAGACTTTAAAATAGTCTGAAGTAGTATTTGCAACTTCTCTTCATTCACCTGGAGTCTGACATTAACCATCTTCTCCTACCTGGAAATCATCAGAAACTTAGCAGACCTCAAATCACAAATTGTAGTGGCATACTTCTGCCAGTGCAGAGCACAGCCAGCAAAAGACTCTTCAAGCCAAGATGCTTTCTGAACAAACAAGTAGAATGGTCTTTCATCATTATATTTCTAAACAAGCAGATTCTCCCTATCACAAGTAGATAGTACTATCAAGAGTTTACACACAGTACGCCCATTAAAAGCCCACATGTTGTTAATAGTATTCTTCACCCCTGGAGCTCACTTAGCTCAGAGGAGACAGCAAAGAAGATTCATCTTGGGCCCTATTCAATTCCTGTTAGATTTCACTTACCAGCAGAAATTGGAAAATCAAGACCAGAGCATCAATTCAGGTTTTTTGTTTGGTTTGGGTCAGGTTGGTTTGCTGGGTTGTTTTGGTTTAAGTTTTTTCACACTAGACAGCCTAACATATCTGACACAGCCCAACCTACCTACAGAAAAGACCATCATTGCCATGAATCAAGCACTTTAGAGGGTGGAGAGCTACAGTGTTGACAGCTGTGAAAGAAATATGATCCATGCAGAAGAGCTGGTTTGGTAAGTTCATGCTCAAATTGCAGAGAACACACCCTTGCCTTCCAGAGATTTTGAACTAGTTAGCAACTGCCAGGATAGACATTGCACAAGTTAAGCATGTTAAATGTAGAACAAGTAGTAGTGCTCATCCCAGCAGCATAAGCTAACCTGTCACACACTCCTCGGCAGATGTCACAACCTTTTTGGTCATTTATACTAACTTCTAGCTGCTTATCCTGTTACTCTGTCACTGTCTCAGATAGCACTGGAGTACTTTGGAAGCCTTTCTAGAAGGCTTTGGCATCCTGGGCAGAAGGAACACATTACACTTCCAAGAACTACTTTCAGAGCAGTCCCTCTAAACAATGCTCAGGACAAGAAGTCCTACTTCACAGTCCAGTTTTCTGAAAAAAAAAAAAAATATGCAGCAACACTGTAGTAAGATCTGTAAGTGTTCATAAATGCGTGCCGATAGAACTGTCAAGCCAATTCAGGCCAGGAGTCAGTGAAATTCACAACATGAAGCCCTACTCCTTAAGGTTCTGTTCACCCCCAACCTTTCCTCACCTGCTCCAGATCAGACACAGTGTGCTACCTGAAATTCAGATTTTAAGTGGATTCATCCTAAAACCCAGTCTAAGGACAACAAGCTGCTCTAGGTTCTTGCAATAGTCCAGTCCTAGTAAATCAAGAATAGAAATGGATGAGGACTAACTTTAGAAAAGGTGGCATTCACAGAATGACCACCCCTACATTGAAGTGTTTCTAGCCAACTGGACAGTAATTTGGACTTGCAGAGCTCATGACAGCCTCCTTATATAGGTCTCCATGACAACACATTCAGTACTGTTATAGATACAACTAAAGCAACAGTTTTTTGTTGTTTTAGGTGGGTTTGTTGGTTTGGGGTTTTTTATATAGTGTCCCTTAACACTTTCAGTAGTCCTGTTCCATTGTAGTAATGGAGTTATGGACCCCACACATTCACACTCAAGAGCGTGGTTGTTTGAAGCAGGGATGATGGCTCCTTGCACTGCACGCTGAACAGCCAGGCAATGCTGCCTCCTGCCAGAGTACTAAAGACAGACCAGTAGATTCACCCAACTCACACACAGGGTTGGTTTCAATGCTGTTGAAAATCCCCATGTGCACAGAAGACTGGACCTCAGGCTTTTAGTACATACAGAAAAGCCCTCATCTGTCAAAGCATATGGCACTAGAGCTTGCAGCGCAGTGTTGCTAGTCCAGAAAGCTATAGCTATATTTTCATTTTCTGAAGATGTTCATCTGACCTTTGAAGTTTCTGTACTACTGAACTAACATAATCTTGACTACAGTTACACTCTAGCTTGTGCTGATGCAAAGAGACCATCAACTGGACTTGCCCCTGAAGTCTGCCATCCATTCAGGCCCATTACTGCGGCAGTTTACTAATCACTCCCTACTTCATTATGGTTCTTGCAACCTGAATCATTCAATTAAAGAATGCAAGCTAATGTGCAGTTCTGACTGTGCATAATAACTTCCTAACCCAGGTCAACAGGCTATGAGAAAAAAAAAGCAATACTGTACAGAAAGACACAGAAGCAGACTTGAATGGAAGAAAATATAGCCAGGAGAAGATACTACCACAAGGTTTCCCTATAAGCTCTTCACTCCACTCAGCAACTACAGCAGGAATACTACCGACAACTACTGACAGCTAAGTATCCAGAACAAGCACTATTTGTTAAAACGCTAAGCCACATTTTGAGAACAGTAGCTTCTTGTGTATGTACAGACAGTATTTCAACTACACAAACTCAACTAAATAACCTGCTTCTAAAAGTTTTGAGGCAAAATGAAAACAGAATTCCTGCTTGCCCCAGTACAGTTAGTGGCTGATGGCCTATTTGTCCTGCAGTGTAAGAACACGGAATGAGACAGCTCAACCTGCACACTACAAAAAAAAAAAATCAGTCTGCTTTAAATGAAAGTTTCTCCCTTTAAGCACATTAACTGAAATAAAGGTAACTGTGTTGGTGCTTTAAGTGTCAACCCAAATAGAGGTTGAGCTTCTTAAACACATCATTCACATTCTTTCATGACAAAAACACCCACGCACTAACTGCTAAACTCAGTTGGGTTTAGATACAGTATAGGTTTTTGATCAACAAGCACTGGCAACTAGTAATTGCTTCTCTGGACAGTGAGTTGGACACGGACAACCGCACACAGATGCAGCACAACATTAAAATAAATTTAAACTACATTTGCTTTTTAGTGGTTTAAGACTCGGATTATGAACAAAGTCTGAAGAAGTCACTTTCATTAGCACAGATGGCTCTCATCAGTATTCCTTCCACTTCCTTGATCACAAGGAGTGACAAAGACTTCACTCTGTACATCTTCAAGCTAGAAGTCTTGTTTGTATAGAAACCTGAATTTGCTGTAAGTCCAACTTTAAATCAAAACTTCCAGTACACCTACATACTACAGCTCTCAGCATCCCTGAACAAGAGTTCCTTAGTGCTGTACAGACACCCCATGTCTGTGTTCATAAAAAGTGATCCAAGTCTCCTGCTCTTAATTCAGTACAGATACACGATAGGATCCCCCACACATCCGAATGATAAAGCAAGCTGAAGGGGGCTACACTAACCGCAGACCATCTGGCTTGAAATCCTGTTCTACGTCCACAGCCTGAGGGAGTTCACAGCTTGAATCAAAAGCTTAAAATAAGTTATCAGGACAAAATTGATGCACCACATTTAAATATAATGCATTCTCTCAGAGCTTTGCCTAGGAAATATTCCTTAGAGAGAAAGGAGACAAACTATTTAAATGTTTGTTTTGGTGTAGTGAACCAAGGAAAATGTAGGCATGCGTGAACTGAGTTCCAGAGTGTAGAGAAAAAAAAAGGTTAATCTTCAAACCTTATTTGGACAAGGTAAAAACTCTGGCACATCTACTAGGAAAGAAAACCCCCAAACATTTAAGTCACAAAATTGTCCTCCCCTTTCTCCAGCCATCCTACTCCATGCAATTAACTCACAGTAAGACCAACATGAAAGCTGTAAGGCTGCCACAGACCTTAATGTATCACTGTTTTCCTATTGCTGACTAGCAAATACTGCCAAGTAGCTCATTTTAAGGCCAGAAATAATGTTTTTAATATTTCAGCTATAAATAGGACTGATGAGCTAAGTTCCAAAGACTTGTTTGGATATCCAGTAAGTCTGACAGGCGTAGTGAAGGGGGAAAAAAACCGCATTTAACTCTGTTCCATCAGGGCAGTGAGATCTAAAATTATTACATAAACTGTGAGCAGAAGAGAGAAGTACCTGAAGCTACAATTCTGCCAGAGAAAGGGAAAAACAAGATATTCTGATGACCTAAATACCTATGAAGCACCATAACTAATCAAACAATAGGCCTGTCTACTCCTAAAGTGCTTTAAATTTTTTCTCTGTTGAATGGTCTGCATGCATGCAGGAGCAGACAGCTCTCCCCCAGCTATGCAAAATACTGATAAACTGGCATTTTGCATTCTCTATTTAAGAGGACAGAAAAGCTAGAGGGAGACTCCATTATAATGAAGAGGTGCAGCAAAAATGTCAACCCTCAAATTCAGCTGTTTTCAGCAGATGCATGCAAGTAGAATACCAATAAGTAGAGACTAAGACAGAAGAAAAACCCTGATACAACCTGGTAAGTAACAACAGAAAAAAACCTATTCATGAAAGGACTGCTTTTCTGAAAGCACATCATGAACTTCATAAGATGTTTCTCCATAGCTACAAGGGAAAACTTGGAGGGTAGGGATAGTGACAAAGCATGCTTCTCATCCTTCTTCCACTCTGCCTAAAAATCACAGCTATTATTAGCACACTCACTGAAGGACCTAACAGTATCTCTACCCACAGTGAAGTTTACCAGTACTTTTCCACCACCCTCAAAGAATGCTGCTTTAGAATACTATGGCAGGTGAAAGCACTAAAAGGCCTCTTCCTCACCTTTTGTCCCCTTTCTTACCCATCCCTCAGATTCTTGAGAATACACCAGATCTGACAATGCCCTAGATCATCCAGGATTCCAGAAATGGCAAGTGAAAGCTCTTCATGAACCCTGTAGGCTAACTGGATCCTTGCAAACCACAGGTTTAAACAAGGCAGACCTGCTTGGATTTCTGAGTGATTTTATTTAATGTTGTTGCTCACCCAAGAAGATTCAATCAGTATTTTCTAATTGCTTTAGGCCTTAAGTACATTTTATGTACTTTGTATGTATTCCTAGTATCTGCAGCTGATTATTTAAATAATGATCAGCTAATGCAAACCAAAACTTTGAGTGAGAAGGACACAAAGAGTAAGGTGAGAGATGCCAATTGCAATTACCCCATGTTTGATCTTTAGATTAGCAGCCAGAATAGATTCAGCCACCCCCAGCTGCATCTGTACCACAGCCACAGAGGAGCTGAGCAGCAAGCAAAGTGCTTACTTCCACTGTACGGGGAGGTACGCCAAAGGGCCTGTTTTCATATGCATTGCCAGGATGAACAAGTTGTCAGTCAGGAGCACCAACAAGTTTAAGGAAACGGAGCAAGCCAAAGAGGCTTTTTCTTTTTTTAAAATCAAACAATGCTTCTAACTATCTGAAGCTTCTAAGCAAAAGGAATCTTTTAGCCCAGCCTCCAGTCTACACTCAGTTTTCCACCTCCCTTTTAGTACTTGCAGGCTAAGAGAGCCTCCCGTCCAGCTTTACCAGCACTGAACTCCGTAATTCTGTTTTAACTCTATGTTTCATTTCAAAGAATAAAGCTAGCAGTACAGGGAGTGACTGAGTTTACCTTAAGAAACTGCTTTCTCTAGATCACATAGCTAGCAAACCTGACACAGTAACTACCTTCAGACACCTTGTGTGGAGTATTTCAGTTCCTCCTCCCTCTCCCTTCTCAACTGTTCTTAATCTGGTAGCATCACTAACACACCCACGTGATGAAAGGGAAATGGGACCAGGGGAAATACAACATGTGCCAACACAATTACTGCCCAGATCAATGTGAACTGAAACAGGAAAAGACCCCTACACAGGGAGAATTCAAACCCCCCAAAAATTTCACATTTTCCATGTGTTCACTTTGTCTCCACTGAAGGAAGGCATTTTTCTCACACAGATACAAAAGTAGTTTTTATCACAGTCCCTGCTGCTAAGAACATAGAGAAGGAGAGCTAGATTGCATTATCC